GACAGGAGAATTGCCTGATCCCAGGAGGAGGAGGTTGCAGTGAGCCGAGATCGCGCCATTGCAGTCCAGCCTGGGTAACAAGAGCGAAACTCCGTCTCAAAACAACAACAACAACAACAAAAACTGTGGCTTAAAAAATATGGTTTTTGTTTTTATTATTTTAAAACATTTTTGAAGAGATGGGGTCTCACTGTTGCCCAGGCTGGTCTTGAACTCCTGGCCTCAAGCGATCCTCCTGTCTCAGCCTCCCAAAGTGCTGGGATTATTGGCATGAGCCACCACACCCAGCAAAAAAAAATTCATCTTGAGTTCTCTATGAACATAGAAGTAATCCCTGGGATATAACTGTCCTAACTTGTGTTCTACTTTTTTTCTCTTTCTTTTGATAGTAGTTGTGGCTCTAGTCCTGTCTTTGCCACTAAGATCTCTAGGATCTTAGGCAAGCCACTTTGTTTTACTGGCACACAACTAATATGTATAAAAGTACTCTATGGCCAGCCGTGGTGGCTCATGCCTGTAATCTCAGCACTTCTGGGAGGCTGAGGCGGGTGGATCACCTGAGGTCAGGAGTTCAAGACCAGCCTGGCCAACATGGTGAAACCCTGTCTTTAAAAAAAAAAAAAGAAAGTACTTTAAATTGCAGGCCGGGTACAGTGGTTCATGCCTATAATCCTAGCGGTTTGGGAGGATGAGGCATAAGGATCACTTGAGTCGGGGAGTTCAAGACCAACCTGGCCAACAAGGCAAGATGCCATTTCTACAAAAACTTAAAAAAAAAAAAAAAGGCTGGGCGCAGTGCCTCATGTCTGTAATCCCAGCACTTTGAGAGGCCGAGGCTGGGGGACCACCTGAGGTCAGGAGTTCAAGGCCATATGGTGAAACCCCATCTCAACTAAAAATACAAAAATTAGCCAGCGTAGTGGCAGGCACCTGTAATCCCAGCTATGCTGGAGGCTAAGGCAGGAGAATCACTTGAACCCAGGATGTGGAGGTTGCAGTGACCAGAGATCGAGCCATTGCACTCTAGCCTGGTGGACAAGAGCAAGACTGAGTCTTAAAAAAAAAAAAAAATTAGTCACAGTGGTGCCTGCGTATAGTCCTAGCCACTGGGGAAGCTTGAGGCAGGGGGATTGCTTGAGCCCAGGAGGTCCAGACTATAGTGAGCTATGGTGGTGCCATTGCACTCTAGCCTGGGTGACAGAGTGAGACTTTGACTGTAAAAAATAAAAATAAAAATAATAAATTGCGAAGCACTAAAAAATACAAGTATTATTATTGAACTAGGTGAGCTCTATATTTCCCTCAAGGTCTAAATTTTTTTTTTTTTTTTTTTGAGACGGAGTTTCACTCTTGTTACCCAGGCTGGAGGGCAAATGGCACGATCTCGACTCACCACAACCTCCACCTCCTGGGTTCAGGCAATTCTCCTGCCTCAGCCTTCTGAGTAGCTGGGATTACAGGCACACACCACCATGCCCAGCAAATTTTTTTTTGTATTTTTAGTAGAGACGGGGTTTCACCATGTCGACCAGGATGGTCTCGATCTCTTGACCTCGTGATCCACCCGCCTCGGCCTCCCAAAGTGCTGGGATTACAGGCTTGATCCACAGTGCCCGGCCCTCTTTTCTCTTTTGTTAAAGAGTCAGGGTCTCACTATGCTGCCCAGGCTGAAGTGCAGCGGCTAGTCACAGGCGCGATCTCACTACTGATCAGCACTGGAGTTTTGACCTGCTCTGTTTCCGACCTGGGCCGGTTCACCCCTTCTTAGGCAACCTAGTGGTTCCCCGCTCCTGAGAGGTCACCATATTGATGCCGAAATTAGTGTGGACACCGAATCGGCATAGTGCGCTACATCCCAGAACTCCTGGGCTTAAGCAATCCTCCAACCTCAGCCTCCCAAGTAGCTAGGACTACAGGCACATGCCACCTCACCTGGCTAATTTTTGTATTTTGGGTAGAGACGGGGTTTCAGCATGTTGGCCAGGATGGTCTCGATTTCTTGACCTCAGATGATCTGCCCACCTAGGCCTCCCAAAGTACTGGGATTACAGGCATGATCCACTGCCCCCAGCCCTATTTGGTACATTTAAAAGACTCCTTTCATTATACCAAAGCTGCTGCTGATTTAGTAAGTACAGAATGATTTGTGACTTTAGTAGCAACACCAAAAACAGGTTATTCTTCAGTCTCTTAGGATGCAAGTTCGTGCAAAAGATACATGACTTTAAGGAGAAGGCTGAGTCATAGCCAACACCTGAGGACTTTATTTTCTATGTTAAAAAAATTTTTGGGGGCCGGGTGCGGTGGCTCATGCCTGTAATCCCAGCACTTCGGGAGGCCGAGGCGTGTGGATCACGAGGTCAAGAGATCGAGACCATCCTGGTCAACATGGTGAAACCCCATCTCTACTAAAAATACAGAAAATTAGCTGGGCATGGTGGTGTGTGCCTGTAGTCCCAGCTACTCAGGAGGCTGAGGCAGGAGAATTGCCTGAACCCAGGAGGCGGAGGTTGCGGAGAGCCGAGATCACGCCATTGCACTCCAGCCTGGGTAACAAGAGCGAAACTCCGTCTCAAAAAAAAAAAAAAAAAAGAAAGAAAATTAGCAAAATAGTAGTGATCTCTGGAAAACTCAAGATGCTTAAACTTGGCTTTTTTTTTTTTGAGATGAAGTTTTGCTTTTGTTGCCCAGGGACCAGGCTGGAGTATGACGGTATGATCTCGGCTCACCACAGCCTCTGCTTCTCGGGTTCAAGCGATTCTCTTGCCTTAGCCCCCTGAGTAGCTGGGATTACAGGAATGTGCCACCACACTCAGCTAATTTTGCATTTTTAGTAGAGACAGTTTCTATATGTTGGTCAGGCTGGTCCTGAACTCCTGACCTCAGGTGATCCACCTGCCTAGGCTTCCCAAAGTGCTGGGATTACAGGTGTGAGCCACCATGTCTAGCCATATTTGGCTTTTTTTTTTTTTTAATTTTAGACCAGAGTTTAACAGCAGATTTTAACTTAGTCAAAATGTGCTTTCGAGTCACCAAAGGCAAATGATGTCTAATAGGGCTGATTTGGGAGTTGGGCACCCCAGGTGTTGGTTGTGCTTTAAAACTTCATGCTAAACCTTAGGGGAAGTCTTTTCCCCTCTCTCTTCAGTTAAGATCTCTTCCAAGATGAACCCTATTACTAATTACCTGATCAGCTTTCAAAGTTGCAGTTAAAATACTTCACATTTTTTTCCATTTGTACTTATAATTTTTTTTTTGAGACAGGGTCTCTCTGTTGCCCGGGTTGAAAGTGCAGTGGCGTGATCTACGCTCACCACAATCTCTGCCTTCCGGGTTCAAATGATTCTCAGCTTCCCGAGAAGCTGGGGTTACAAGTGTGTGCCACCACACATGGCAGATTTTTGTATTTTTAGTGGAGATGGGGTTTCACCATGTTGTCCAGCTAGTCTTGAATTCTGACCTCTGGTGATCCAAACACCTTGGCCTCCCAAAGTGCTGGGATTACAGGCGTGAGCCACCACTCCTGGCCATCAAATTTTGTAAAACAATATGTGGTCAAGATTTCATTCTCTGATCTATTTTTAGTAAAAAGAAAAAAATTACCGTGTAGTTTGTTTTGTTTTTGAGACACAGTCTTACTCTGTCACCCAGCTGGAGTGCAGAGGCATGATCTTGGCTCACTGCAACCTCCATCTCCCAGGTTCAAGCGATTCTCCTCTCTCAGCCTCCTGAGTACCTAGGACTACAGGCGCCTGCCATCACGCCCAGCTAATTTTTGTATTTTTAGTAGAGATGGGGTTTCACCATGTTGGCCAGGATAGTCTTGATCTCTTGTCCTCGTGATACCCCCGCCTCAGCCTCCCAAAGTGCTGGGATTACAGGCGTGAGCCACCGTGCCCCTGGCTACCATATGGTTTTAAATGTTGTCAATTATGTTTTGCGACAGTTACCTCTGCTATATGTTAAGGTTAATATTGAGGTTTTCCATATGACCAACATATGATTCTTTTTTTTTTTTTCGTTTTTTTGGTGGGATTGGGAGGAGGGCTAGAACAGTTTTTTCACTCTTGTTAATTTTCTGTTGATTCCACCTATTACTAATCTTCATTATGGCAAGATACCCGGTTTTCTCATGAAGATCAAATGTGGTAGTGGGGCAATAATGCAAAGACAAAGGACGGTAGGAGGATTCCGGCTTCTTTTTTCCCCTCCTGAGCAAACAGGGTCTCTAACACTCCGTAGTAGAGAACACAGTTCTATTTATGAAGGGTAATTAGCTGGGCTTTGCTACAACCGAGAGCCCTGAACGATTCGATCAGCCCGATACGCGGGCTGCTTTTCTCTTCTTCTCCACCAGAGGCGATAGCCTCTTTCCAAACAGAAACTTGGTTGCAATAGGCCGGTCGGGGGGAGCGGCCAGAAGATCAAAGATTAAAAACCGCCTGAAACAGGCCGGGCGCGGTGGCTCATACCTATAATCCCAGCACTTTGGGAGGCCGAGGCGGGTGGATCACGAGGTCAAGAGATCGAGACCATCCTGGTCAACATGGTGAAACCCTGTCTCTACTAAAAGTACAAAAAAAAAAATTGGCTGGGCATAGTGGCGTGGGCCTGTAATCCCAGCTACTCGGGAGGCTGAGGCAGGAGAATTGCTTGAACCCAGGAGGCGGAGGCTGCGGTGAGCCGAGATCGCGCCATTGCACTCCAGCCTGGGTAACAAGAGTGAAACTCCGTCTCAAAAAAAAAAAAAAAAAACCTCCTGAAACAAAGAGCAAAGGTCAATACCAAACTCCTAAGGAGGCCTGAAGCTTTTATCTGTTAGGAAACGGGAAGGTGACTTCTCCCTGACATCGGTGCCTGAGGCCACTCAGCCTTCCAGAGACCGGGCGGGTCCGGGCGGGTCCGTGGTAACAGGTAGCACCGGCTGAACAGCCGCCAACCGGAAGTGGAAGAGAGCCTGGGGCGGGGTGAGTACCAGCCGCGGCACGCCTGCGCAGTCAGCAGGAGTTACAGTGCTCATGCGCAGCTGGGCGGTGACGAGGTGACGCTTGGAGCGTGGGCCGCGACTCTCACGGATCCGGTTCCGCCCTCCCTCTGGCTGCAGATCCTCCGGAGCGAGCGCCCGAGATCCCTTTCCCAGAGTGCTCTGCGCCGTGAAGAAGCGGCTCCCGGGGACTGGGGGCATTTTGTGTTGGCTGGAGCTGGAGTAACAAGATGGCGTCGTCGGCGGAGTGACAGGGGTCCCTCCGGGCCGGAGCCAGCAGCAGTGCTGGCAGTGGTATCGCCGCCCTAGCTCACCGCGCCCCTTTTCCTGCCCGCGACGTCGCCGCTCAAGCAGGCATCGGCCGCCAACGAGAACAAGTGGCCCAGCCTGGTAGCCGCGAGAAGCCCTTCACAAAGTGCGGCCTGGCAAAAAGAAACCTGACTGAGCGGTGGTGATCAGGTTCCCCTCGGCTGATTCTGGGCCCCGAACGCCGGTAAAGGCCTCTGTGTTCCGTTTCCTGCTGCCTTCCTCCGTAGCCTTGCCCGGTGTAGGAGCTCGAGAGGTCTCCGTCTTCCCCTCAGAGGTGTCGGGGCTTGGCCCCAGCCTCCATCTTCGTCTCTCAGGATGGCGAGCAGCAGCGGCTCCAAGGCCGAATTCATTGTCGGAGGGAAATACAAACTGGTACGGAAGATCGGGTCTGGCTCCTTCGGGGACATCTATCTGGCGATCAACATCACCAACGGCGAGGTAATCACCTGGGGTAGGGTTGACGATAACGCTGGGCATTTCCTCATTCCCCGCCCCCACCACCGCGCACCCCTAAAGTGCTTGGGCCTCTCCCCACCGCACGCACTCGTCAGGGAGTCCAGAGAGCTAGTTTTCCTGGCTTTTGAACCTCCCCCGCTCTTTCCCTAAAAGGATCAAGAACCCGATAGAAAGGTTGGGGAAGGTTCCCAGCTTGTTAAACACGTCCCATAAATGTCCCTTAGTTGAACTTTTTTTTTTTTAACCGTTTTTTAAGGTGGAAACGGCAAAATCCTATTTCTGTGATTCCCATGCTTTTATTTTATTTTATTTTTAATTCTGCTGGCCTCTTATTCCAATTAGAACAGTTTCCGATCGCCTAGTTCCTTAAAAACCTCTCATTACGTTCAGAGGTTGCCTCTTTTTTTCTGGATGAATCATTTTCCTGCACTTTAGAAGAGGTAGGGATTTCGTCACTACCCCCTGAAGAGGCTGGTTGCCTCATTTTATAATTACAGAGAGCTTTCTCTTTCCAGTCTTTCGCTTTTTCCCTGTAGTCGCGACTTGGAGTTTTGCTAATGTCTCTCCCTCCTTTCCTAAGTGACATTGAATCCGTAGGGATGTTGATGCCATCATCCCTCTTTCCCCTGCAGGAAGTGGCAGTGAAGCTAGAATCTCAGAAGGCCAGGCATCCCCAGTTGCTGTACGAGAGCAAGCTCTATAAGATTCTTCAAGGTGGGGTTGGCATCCCCCACATACGGTAAGAACCCTGTGCATATAGGCGGTCTGCTGAGGGAAGCACGGAATGGGGAAGTGGGTAGAGGCAGGTAAGGAGACCAGCTGAATCCAGGTCTTGGTGTTTCAGTTACCTGGGTTCCCTACAGCTAGTGGCTTCCTGTAAGTCAGTTATCGCAATCACTGAGTAAATTTCAGTTTGCTAACTTAGTTTAAAATTTCATTGTATTACACTGTGTCCCATTTCGCTTCCGTCATTTCTCCCTCTTCCCGAGGCTTTCATTTGCAGTAAAGTGTGCAGGTCATCTTTGATCTCTACGCGGAAGGTTTGACTGCTGCCTTTTTTACGGCGGCATGTCTGGTGTTCAGAGGTTTGCTCAGTGAAGTGGATTTGAAGGTGGCGAAGCGACAGGGCAGTGTCATTTCGGGTTGCTATTGGAGCTGGCTTGGGAAATGGCTGCTCTTTTGTTGTGTTTTTGTTCCAACATGTCTTCCTCCTCCGCTTAGAAAATGGCGGAACGACGTGACTCAACCCCATATTCCTGCCCTTTTCTCAGCTTGGGTTCACAAATTATGCTTCCTTGATACCTCCTTCAGCAGCCCCAAGTGGTTTAAACCTTTGAAAAAGTCAAGAATAAAGCTGCAGGAGCCAGTGGGGTTCCAGGAAGGACATGGCATAGTGACAATGTTTGTGATCTCGTCAGCAGATATGATACGAAATTGTTGAATTATACTATGTAAAATCCTTTGTAGTTCTTTTAAAAGTGTTAATTACTCTTTCCTTTAGTGAATGGTCATGTTTGTCACTTTTCAGTCCAAACTAAATTTGTATAGATAGTGGCAGAGGCAGTTTGAGCACCACCATGTTAAAATTTACTCAGCTCAGTTTTATTAAAAGAGAGCTTAATCACTTAGCCACACTTTGATAAGTAATTTTAACCTGTTGAGTTTATCAGTAAATTTTAACATCAGAGAAATTGTGGCCTTTTTTGGTGTGGAATATTGGTGGATACAAATAGTGGTAATGAGGATACAAGGTGACGAGATAGAAATACATTGTTCCGTCAACTCTTGAGGGTTTTAGAGTAATGTTTTGACTTTAGGGATTAAAAGAGCCTCTTCATGGAATAGAGACTAAAATGTAGTTTAAAACCCAGCTGTTTTCCAGCGATAATAAAAAAAAATTTGCAAAAATTTTCAGAATAGTTGAGAATGGTATTTACTGTTTACTGGAGCCTCTTTTTTTGTTTTGTTGTTGTTGTTTTTGTTTTGAAATGGCGTTTTTGCTCTTGCCACCTAGGTTGGAGCGCAGTCACACGATCTCTGCTCACTGCAACCTGTGCCTCCCAGGTTCAAACGATTCTTGTGCCTCAGGCTCCAGAGTAGCTGGGACTACAGGCTGGTGCCACCACGCCCAGCTAATTTTTTGTATTTTTAGTAGAGACGGGGTTTCACCATCTTAGCCAGATGGTCTCCATCTCCTGGCCTCGTGACCTGCTCTCTCGGCCTCCCAAAGTGCCGGGATTACAGGTGTGAGCCGCCACGCCTGGCCTAATTTTTGTATTTTTAGTAGAAAAGGGGTTTCACCACGTTTGTCAGGCTGGCCTGGAACTCCTGACCTCAGGTCATTTTCCCACCTCAGCCTCCGAAAATGCTGGGATTATGGGTGTGAGCCACCAATCCTGGCTTTTTTTTTTTTTTGAGAGGAGTCTTACTCTGTTGCCCAGGCTGGAGTACAGTGGCACCATCTCGACTCACTGCAACCTTCGACTCCCGGGTTCAAGCGATCCTCCTGCCTCAGCCTCCTAAGTATCTGGAATTACAGGCCTGCGCCACCATGCCCAGCTAATTTTTTGTTTGTTTAGTAGAGATGAGGTTTCACCATGTTGGCCAGGGTGGTCTCAAACTCCTGACCTCAGGTGATCTACTGGCATGGCCTCCCAAAGTGCTGGAATTATAGGCGTGAGGCACTATGCCAGGCTTGTAGCCCCTTTTCTATTTCAGGTTTTTTTTTTTTCAGATCTTGAATTAAGGACTGGATTGCATAGTGCTTACATGGAAACAACACAAATAAAACTATCCTAAAAAAAAGTTCCAAAGCTGTTAGTTTTTATTTTCTATTAAAAAAAAAATTTTTTTTTTTTTTTGAAGGGACGGGGTTTCACTGTATTGGTCAGGCTGGTCTTGAACTCCTGACCTCAGGTGATCCACCTGCCTCGGCCTCCCAAAGTGCTGGGGATTACTGGCGTGAGCCACCGCGCCGGGCCAGCTGTTAGTTTTGACGGAGAACTGAATGATAAAATTTGCTATTGGTTGTAAATGGGCAGGTAAATCACTTGGAAGAAAATTCCAAATTTATCTTTTGACGTAAAGATTAATGTGAAATCTAAGATGATACAGATTTGAGGTTTCAATTTATTTATTTTTTAAAATTTTATTTATTTATTTATTATTATTTTTTTAAAGATGGGGTTTCACCCTGATGGCCAGGCTGGTTTTGAACTCCTGACTTCAGGTGATCCACCCACCTGGGCCTCCCAAAGTGATAGGATTACAGGTGTGAGCCACTGTGCCGGGCCTGATTTGAGGTTTTTAAATGGTTCTTGTCTTTAAAAAAATCCTGTGTGGGAAAATAAGGCCCCTTACACCCACTGATTGCTTTCTGTCACTAGTTTTTCCTAGAATTTCTTACAGATGGAATCATATGGTATGAGGTCATTTGTGTCTGGCACTTTTCACTTAGCATAATGTTTTTGAGATTATTTATGTTGGGAGATTTTATAAATTTCACAAATCAGGTTAAATTTAATATATTTGAAATCATTTTCAGAAAGCATTAAGCATTGCCATTTTCACTGCTAAACCCAAGTTAAGTACATGCCCTTTTATCTGGTAGCTTTTATTTAAGACCTGATACAGACTCATAAGGGCAATGAGTAATAAACTGAATAAGCACATGAATAAATTAACTTCTGAGCTGAATAATAATAATAGGAGCCTATTATAAGGTGGTGAGTGTGAGAGAGTTATGGTAGTTTTAAGCTCTCTGTGGGTGGGGCTAAGCAGATTAACCTGGCTTTCAAATTAAGGCTTCCTGAGAGAGGAGATGGGATTTCAGGATCTGGGTCTGAGGAAGAAAGCTTGGTGAACTGGTTTGGGAAGGCATCCAAGAATAGAGTGAGGCTTCTGGGTGTAGTCTCTAAGGAGAATACAGTAACTGGATGAGGGTGTGGAAAGGGTAAATTTACTTTAGGAGTGGTAGCGTCAGGTACATGGAAACAAAAGTGGTTTGTTGGTTTTAAAGTGAAATGTGAAGAAAAACCAAAAACCTGTGTTTCCATTGAAGCAAAAAGGATAAAGATTTATATAAACATTCTTTATTTGGATAACAACATCTTCCCATCCCCTTCAGTCTGTTTGCCACTATTTCTATATCACCCATACGTGGTGCATACTTAATAAATATTTACTTGGTAAGTATTGAATTAAGTTGACTGTTTACTTTTAGCTAGATAAAAGTTAGGTATTATCCATTGTTTTAGAAGTATTGTCACTAATTTAAAATTTAAATTTTTCTGCCTTTACCCTTCATACACAAATTTGTTCAATCCCTTCCCTATGTTTTCTGTTAAAAAACTCCCTGTAGGATTTGCTTTGCTTTTTTATTTTTAATTTTTTTGAGACAGTTTCACTCTTGTCACCCAGGCTAGAGTGCAATGGCGTAATCTCAGCTCATTGCAACCTCTGCCTCCTGGGTTCAAGTGATTCTCCTGCCTCAGCCCCCCAAGTAGCTGGAATTACAGACATGTACTACCACATCCGGCTAATTTGGTATTTTTTTAGTAGGGATGGGGTTTCTCCATGTTGGTCAGGCTGGTCTCAAACTCCCAACCTCAGGTGATCCTCCCGTCTTGGCCTCCTAAAGTGCTGGGATTACAGGCATGAGCCACTGTGCCTGGCTGATTTGCTTTGCTTTTAAGATACTTTGGTATGTCTTACAACAGAGACTAAAAATTACCTGGGCTTTATGGATGACCTGCTTAATCAGGTCCTTCCTGTGTAATTTCAGAGACCTATTGTTAAGAGGCATAGCATCCAGAGTAAAGAGCCAGGATAAGCCAGGCACAGTGGCTGATGCCTGTAATCCTAGCACTTTGGGAGGCAGAGGTGGGCAGATTGCCTGAGCTCTGGATTGTTCTGAGACCAGCCTGGGCAACACGTTGAAACCCCTTCTCTACTAAAATAAAAAAAAAAAAATTAGCCATGCATGGCTGTGTGCCTCTGTCGTCCCTCAGGAGGCTGAGGCAGGAGAATTGCTTGAATCTGGGAAGTGGAGGTTGCAGTGAGCCAAGATTGCACCACTGCACTCCAGTCTGGGTGACAGAACAAGACTCCATCTCAAAAAAAAAAGAAAAAAAAGAACAAGCATGAGAGAATGACATCCATTCTCTTGATATTTTAAAAAATGAAGTTTCTGATTCTAGGTGCTTCAGGAGCTGCGGCTTAAGGTGCCAACATGGCCAAGTCCAAGAACCACACCACACGCAACCAGTCCTGAAAATGGCACAGAAGTGGTGAACCCCAGGTTCCTGAGGAACATACACTTTGCCAAAGAAGCACAACAAGAAGGGCCTAAAGAAGATACAGGGCAACAATTTCAAGGCCGTGATTGCACGTGCTGAGGCTTTTCAGGCCTTCGTAAAGCCCAAGGAGGTTAAGCCCAAAGGGTGTCGGCCACAAGCTTGATCCACTTGCCTACATTGCTCACCCTAAGCTTGGGAAGCATACTCGTGCCCGCATTGCCAAGGGGCTCAGGCTGTGCCGGCCAAAGGCCAAGGATCAAACCAAGGCCAGGCTGCAGCTCCAGCTTCAATTCCAGCTCAGGCTCTAAAAGGTGCCCAGGGCCTTCCCTGTAAAGGCAACAGAGTAGATATCTCTGTCTACCTGTGTGAGGACAGAAGGACTGGTGAGACCCCTCTGGGCTGCTGCCTGCATGGGGCTGGGGTTCTCTTGTGCTGTTTATAC